AGCATATATTATTCAGTGAAGGGGAATCTCAAATGTATAGTATTTCAATCTTCTCTATTGACGAAATATTGGATACTGTTTTTCCCTGTGCAAAGATAGCAAAGCCATCAGAAACTGACTTTTGCGGTGTTTCCAGTGCTTACTAAAAAATTCATCGATATTTGTTAAGATCCAGCTGGTATTTCCCAAAGAAACGCTCTAGAGAAAAAAAGACAAAAATGAACAACTCTACGACGGATGAACAACCACCGGTAACAGCCGATGCTCGCTTCAATATGACAATGATTGTCATCAATGCTTTCAGTGGTGTCTTGGCGACTGTTCTGAACCTCTTGGTCATCGTGACTTTTATCAAGACGCAATCTTTGCGAACACCTTCGAACATTCTTATTCTTAATCTAGCAATCACTGACTTTGGTGTTGGTACTCTGGTGCAGCCTTCTTACTGTACACTCCTTTATGTAAAAATTACTAACGACAAAAATGTAATATTTTACTTTCTTTATGGTGTCCTTCTTTTTCCAGCTTTAATAATTTTGGTGAAAACATCAGTTGTTACAATAACTGCCATTACTGTCGACCGATTCCTTGCCCTGCACTTACATCTAAGATACCAAGAACTTGTCACAACGAAGCGCATGGCAATGGTAGTAATAATGATCTGGACATTCAGTGTTTCCTGGGCGTGTGCTTATGTCCTTAATACAAATCCAGGTATGAGAAATGCAGATACAGTTTTATTTCTATTACCATTGTTACTTACMATTGCTCTGATGCTGAAAATATMTTGCGTTATCCGTCAACATGCAGCACAAATTCAAGTTCAACAGCAGTCAATGAACGYACAGCCTGGTGCAGCARGGAACATCAAGAGATCTGTRAATATTATGTATTATATTGTTGGAACATWTTTCTTGTGTTGTTTCCCTTTCSTTTGYCATTCTATGATCGCAACCCTWACACAGATACCTTATCGCGTAGCAGGAACAGTGGTGGAGAMCATTCTCTTGATGAACAGCASTATCAATCCAATCATATATTTCTGGAGAATACAAGACATGCGAAATGCTGCTCTTCAATTGTTGCGATCTCTTCGAAGAAATAACTAGACGTTTTTAGAGCGTGTGCTCGTGTAATGCAAAAAATAGCGTTCTGAGATAGTGATTATATATGGCTTTTGTTTCTCGTTGAATGGTGTGAAAGTAATTTAATTGTGTAAGCATAAATTCTTAAAAAACTCATACATAATTAATGAGCTACTAGGCCACTAGAATGAGCCTATTTGGTCACATGCATGGACCTTTATATCTGATAAAGGTCACCCTTATTAGTATTCTTTATAAAAAGAATACTAATAAGGGTGACCTTTATCAGATATAAAGGTCCATGACCCTAGCAAAGGTATCAGCTTTGAAACCTGATCATTGATTAATGCAGGATGTCAACCGATTTCAGTGAACAGCCAAGAGCGGTTCTATTTTACTTTATGCGTATTCAATGTGGGACGACAAGAGTGCTTTGTAAAGTGATTCGCGCATGATCAGTTTGCCCCATTTATCTCTGAACATATTTGTACGGCAATTTCTCCAAGAATTTTAGCGGATTTGAGTTTCAAATTAGTGTTGGAGTTTTTTAAGCCGTTTAAAACACCCGAGATCGTGTTTTAAACTATACATAAATCTCAGTGATAGATTAACGGTGTCCATGTTTTGCACTGAAAGCCTATCGGTTTTTATAAAAGATCATGTTGATGGATGGAATGAGGTAGTTATGATATGGTTTTTGTTCCAAGGTAACAGTGTTTGTTTTCGCACAAAAACAGCATTTTTCAGAACTTTGTTGATTAAAAGGAGGACTTCTAAGGGAACTGATAGATCGTGAGCTTATTTGTCAATGTTGAGAAGTACACGGGTAGATTGGGGTTTGGTAGACCTAATAAATCTCTTGCATGTGAGTCAAAGATCTTCAATTTATCGATTGTCTTTGAATATAGCTACAGTATTACATTGAACAGTAATAAAAAACGTGATAATTTTGTCGCGTCAAAATTTGAATAGATTCCCAAAAGATATCATAAATCTCAAAATTAGTGATAGATGATATATCATGTAGATGTCCAGTATAGCTTGGACTGCATTCCATCTCATAATTACAAACAAATATGTTCACTGAATTTGGTATAAATTCAGTTAGAAATACAAAAAATTAATATTGTACAATCTTGATAATACAGAATATTATTCATTTCTAACAGTTCATTATGTTTACTAGATCCACTTATTAAGTTATTGAGCGCCTATTTTGTTATATATCAGTGCACAAAGTGACATAACCTAAGTATCAGGCCTTCGAGGGGGCCTGGGGCAGAGAGGAAGGGAAAAAAGGAGGCCTGACACAAAAGGAATGTTCTTCTGATTGGTCGGTTGAACAATAGAACGTTAAAGCGGAAGTGAAACTCAACCTAAGGCGCGAAGTTGAAGTCACATCTATTATTGTCTTGACAGCTAATACTCAGTTTACTGCTACTCTATAATTTTCTAAAATCTCAATCGCTTTTAACTGTTTTAAAGAATCATTCATGAACGAAGAATGTACGGAAGCTGTTTCGGCATCAGTCTCAAGGAAGAGCAAGAGACAACAATATGTTTGAAAACACTGTCCTCAACGGCCAACTGGATACGGAGAAAGTTTATCAGTTATTTCCCAAGGTTTTGAGCAGTCATTCATTGGTATCGAAAGACAGGAGAAGTTAAGGAAATGAAGATTATTGTGGTTAGTCCTCTGGGACTAAAATTTGAAAGCGACACTGCGAACTTGGCGCCAGTTTAATTTGAATGGGTTTAAATGCCAACGGACATAATCGAGCCGTGTGACATGATAGCGTGACAACAGGAAGCGATTCTCTTGGCTACTGTATTAACGGTGTACCAAGGTGGCGGAATGGCTTAGATTTACTTTTGTGTCAGGCTCTCCCTTTTTCTTCTCCTTGTATTTCCCCCACATAGTCTGCCATATGCCATAAACAATAATAATAATTAATATAATAATATAATAATACATATAATAATAATAATTAAACATCTTGTTTGTGTATTTGTATGTTTGAGCGTCTTGGGCAAAATGTTTAAAATCCCTTTCATCTTTCGGCTTTGCACGACGCATCGCTCAAATTATTGTGATTCTTTATAAACTCTGACATGTTATCGAAATGAATCACTTCTTGTTATGAAGTGAATCAAAACTATCAAAGAATTGGTTGTCATTCGTGAGAGAGATCCCGGTGCATTTTAGTTTTGAGCTTCCTTTAGCAAATCCATGCCAATATTGAAATAGGCAAATGCAAAGTATGGTAATAGCTCGATGCTTAAATTAAATCAAGATTTTGCTGTGCAGTACGACTTTAATTCGTTCACGTGCCACAGTCTAACCGTCACTATCCTGGAAAACAATTTGTAGAATACTTATTAAACCATTCAAAACGGGCCTTTTTTCAGTTGCGCCAATATTTGATAGGCTTAGGTTTTTCCTATAAAATGGCATTTGATGGTAATAATGATAGAGACAAATTAAAAAAAATTAGAACGGTGTACTTGATAATTATTTTCCACCAGCTCCCTTGTGGTTTTTGAATGAATTTCAATGGTGTTTTGTTTGTATAACTTTGCAAACAACTGAAGCGAGATACTAATCAGTGGGATGACTTGTAGCAACAGATGCTAGATARTAATTTGTCATTTTGGGATGGTCAGTCTAGCACAGACAGCCCAGCCAAACGAAAGCAAATATATAAGATTAACAACAACGCAACAAACAAAACAAAGGGAGAGAAAAACGACTAACCCTGACCTCATTTTGAATGAGGGGTCTTTTCGACTGCAGGGAAAAAGATGAAGAAAAAAGAACAAATGATAGATTTTTAATCAAGGTGTCGTTGAAATAACAGATTGTAAAGTAGAAACAGCGGGGAAAKATATTGACGTGTGAAACAATCATGTTTTGACAGACAAATGARAACTTGGATAATTCAGTTCCTCCCAACAAAAATACTATAAAAATTCTGCTCATATATGAAAAACGGCTTTCTTTGTACGTAACAACGCTTTCATAACTTACCAGTCCTTACCAAAAAAACTATCAATCTTCGTGAAGACTTAGCTGGTATTTCCTGAAGGAAAACTCTAGAGAAAAAAAAGGAGAAAGATGAACAACAGCTCCACAACGATAGAGGAACAACCAGAAACAGCCGATGCTCGCTTTATTGTGTCGATGATTGTTATCAATGCTTTCAGTGGTCTCTTGGCAACTGTTCTGAACCTCTTGATCATCGCGACTTTTATCAAGACGCCATCTTTGCGAACACCTTCGAACATTCTTATTCTTAGTCTTGCCATCGCTGACTTTGGTGTTGGTGCTTTTGCAGAGCCTTCTTACTGTACACTCCTTTATGTAAAAATTACCAGTAACAAATATTTGTTATTTGAAAGTCTTTATGATCTCCTTCTTTTTCCAGCTTTGGTACTTTTGGTGAACACATCAGCTGTTACAATAACTGCCATTACTGTCGACCGATTCCTTGCTCTTCACTTACATTTAAGATACCAAGAACTTGTCACAACTAAGCGCATATCAGTGGTGGTAATAATGATTTGGACATTTAGTGTTTTGTGGACATGTGCAAATGTTCTTATAAAAAATACTGGTATGAGAATTACTAATACAGTTTTTTTTCTATTATTTTTGTTATTTACCATTGCTCTGATGCTGAAAATATCTTGCGTTATCCGTCAACATGCAACGCAGATTCAAGCTCAACAGCAGGCAATGAACGCACAGCCTTCTTCAGAACGGAACATTAAGAGATCTGTTAATATGATGTATTATATTGTTGGAACACTTTTTTTATGTTGTTTCCCTTTCCTTTGTCATTTTATGATCGTAACCCTTACGCAGATACCTTATGGCGCAGTAGCAGGAACAGTGGTTGAGACCATTCTCTTTATGAACAGCAGTATCAATCCAATCATATATTTCTGGAGAATAGAAGACATGCGAAATGATGCTCTTCAATTGTTGGGATCTCTACGAAGACGTAATAATGGCACGAATGACACTGGTAGTTCTAGTTAAAAAAGTGATTTGAAAATACTCGGGATTGCGTGAATATTTTGTATATTACTTAGATGTCATTTGTTTCTATGCATTCAAAATACGCTACATGTTCAGTAAGCCATGCAAGGGTCCAGGTTATAGGCGAACTCCACATGTGCCGAATGCAATTCATGAATTTTAATTTTAATTTTAAAGATGTATACAAGGTTCGGGGTATATATCAATTGAATTAGATGGTGTTATATAAAACACTACTTTTCAGTCGAATCTTAAACTGAAGTAGGCCAGTAGGATAGTATAATAACGATACAGACAGTAAAAAAGATGGTATTTGATTGTTTTTTAATCAGCTCCCTGATGGCTTTTGCAGTGAATGTCAATGACACAGATTTTTTTGTATAACTTTGCAAACAACTGAAAGCAATGCAAGATACTAATCAGTGAGATGAGTTGTAACAACAGATGCTGGGYAATAATTTCTCAGCCGAGAAAGCAAATAGATAGTACTGACAATTGAACGCAAAAAAATGGAAAAGAGAGAGACGACTAACTCCGACCTCCTTTTGAATGAGAATGCACGATTTAAAATAAGAATTTTCTTGTTTTAGTCATGTGCCTCTGCGCCTCTCACTAGACAAAAACAATGTTGTTTTTTGTCACAAACAAGAAGTGCAGGAAAGCAAAGAAAACCATTAGTCTTTTGAATGTCAATGCACGTTTTAAAATAAGAATTTTCTTGTTTTAGTCATGTGCCTCTGCGCCTCTCACTAGACAAAAACAATGTTGTTTTTTGTCACAAACAAGAAGTGCAGGAACGGGAGATAGCATACCAGGTCGACAAAGAAAGTATAAGAAAATCTCCATCAATTAGGAACATGCTCAAATCTTCAACTCATGCTATCCCCGGAATTATTTGTACTTGGCGACTATGAATTGAAACGCTTCGCGCAATGGAGTTTTTTCCCAGAGGATAAAAAAAAAAGAAATACTTACTTTGGATTGTTAACCAAGATCTTGTTGCAATAACAGATTGTAAAGTTAAAACAGCGGGGAAAGATATTGACGTGTRAAACAATCATGTTTTGACAGAAATGCAAACTTGGATAATTCAGTTCCTCCCAACAAAGATGTCAATATTTTGCTCATTTATGAAGAGCTTCGATTCCTTCTTTGTACGTAACAGTTCCTTCAAAACTTAGCCTTGCTTCTGTGTTTTGGGCAATAAACAAGATTTCATTGTTTTTTAAGGAGCAAAGATAACAAGAAATTTGAACGAGTTGCGTGAATTGATTTTTACCAATCTATTTACATAAGTAATGTACACCTATTTCAAAAACCTTGTCGACTCGAGAACGGCGATTGTCGAGAAAGGGAGATCGCGGGACGAACTGAAAGTATTTATGGTTAACGTGTTTTGAAAAAAACACTTACTGGATTCACCTCAGATAGAAATGGATACTAGATGGATCCAATGTTTACCACAGACTATGTTGTAGTATAAATCAATTAGCCTAGCCAAAGCCATAGCTACTTTCGGTCGTGCAATAGCCGTTCGACAATTGACATTCGCCATTTTTCCGACATCCGTTTTTGAAGTAGGTATATACACGAAATCGCAATAAAACATTGTCATACAAAAAACAGCATAAATACTTATAAAAATAGAATAAAGTAACAATCTCATTTTTGCWATTAGGTGCACATCTGTTTAAAGTAGCGTCCGAACAATACGATTTAGGAATTAATTAAAGTACAAAGATATGATTTATTTCTTTTAAAAGTGTTTCACAACTCTAAATTTATCGTACACAGATTGAGAATGAGAATGAAATAAAAGTATTAAAAATTATACAAAAAAAAACTATTTCAATCACACTATTCTATGAAAGAAAAGTTATGACTAAAAATAATCTTCCCAAGGAAACACCTGAAAATCGATTTAATTACATTACAATCTTATAAAGTGTCAAAAGTTCAGTGCATGGCACTAGCACGTAATTGACCTGTTTTGATATATGGACTGAATAAGCGTTTCATTAACTATGAAATAACTGTATTACRTTTATACTGGCAGAAGGCTAAAGATTCTCATCACTCAGGTTTTGAAAACACTGGTGAAGTAAAGCTAAGTCGATCGAATGCATGAACACCTCAGWTCTGATTACCTATAGTCAAATATTCAATAGAATAAGTATCTACTTCGTCTAGTACGGAGTCRACTAGAAATTCTATGTGTTTTAAACTTGTCGACAGCTTTCAAACAGCTATAACACGAAAGTTTCGTCTGAAAACCGAAGAGATAAAAAAACTGATCAAATATGAACAACTCTACAACAGAACAACCATCATTGATGGTCAATACTCATCTCTTTGTGTCAATGATCGTTATCAATGCTTTTAGTGGTGCCTTGGCGACTGTTTTAAACCTCTTGATGATCATAACTTTTGTCAAGACGCCATCTTTACGAACACCTTCGAACATTCTTATTCTTAGTCTCGCCATCACTGACTTTGGTGTTGGTGCTTTGGTACAGCCTGTGTACTGCATAGTATTATATGCAAATATGACAAAAAACACAGTTTTATTTCGTAGCACCTTTTCATTATTGAAACCAGCTACCATACTATTGGTCTACGCATCTATTTCGACAATAACTGCCATTACTGCCGACCGATTGCTTGCTATTCACTTACATCTAAGATACCATGAACTTGTTACAAGAAAACGAACTTCATTGGTGGTAATAGCGATTTGGACATTCAGTGTGATTTGGACTTGCATTCTATGTATTCTTTTCATGAAGAAAATGTTTTTTGTGCATAGTATTTTAATGATTTTATTTTTCTCAATCAATATTGTTCTGATGCTGAAAATATCTACTATAATCAATCAACATGCAGCACAAATTCAAGTTCAACATCAGGTAATGAACGCACTGGCTGATGCAGCAGTGAACATTAAGAGATCCGTGAACATTATGTACACTATACTTGGAACATTTATTCTATGTTATTTCCCGTATACTTGCATCTATATTATTCGAATTTTTACGGAAGAACGTTTTTTGGTTGAAAAATTGATCTATACCATTCTTTTGGGAAACAGCAGTATCAATCCAATTATATATTTCTGGAGAATACAGGATATGCGTAATGCTGCTCTCCAACTGTTGCGAACTATTCGAAGAAATAACAATATTAATATCAGTAACTGAGTGGTAACAGTAACAATTGTGATGACAATGTCAATAATCATGACAATTGCACTGGCACTGGAAAAAACACCGGCAGTGAATCGGAAGCAAACGAGTTAAAGGAGCCGTCCCAGGGTGATGCTTTGCGCGCCTCGAATTACAGCGAAGACCTTGATCAGCGCCATTTTCGATGACATCGAAATTATTTTTAGTGATAGCTTACACAATCCGTCTAAAATCTGAAACATCTCTAGGTTTTTCCTTATAAATTCGATATATATTATTTCTTTATGTAACATATATTCATTTTTTTGAATTATCTTGAATATTGAGTCTTTTTTAAACGTTTTATTTTGAGTTTGCCGATATGGCTCCAAATCAACGTAACGGAAATCGCGGTCGTCCACGCCGGAAAGAAGAAATAACTGAGGGATATCACGTTCAGAAGGCCACGACATACGAACCTTGGAAGGAAACAAAGGACAGAATGGGTCTTTTACAGTTGAATAATAGTGAGTTTGTGGAACTGTTGCTTCGCCGACAGCCTGCGAGTCGGCGGTGTTTTTATTCTGCTACACGAATTTTTGCAAGAGCAAAACTATACTGAAGCCACGATAAAAATACAAATCAGCCNGGCCAGTCAGCTCCTTTTTGTAGTATCTAACATTTGCAATTGATAATTCTTTCTGAATTTGAATTCAGCGAGAATTATTTGACATCGATTTCCCGGTCATTCCTTGTTATTTTCCGACACTATGCCTACCGGTCCAAAATGGCGGACAAAACCGTCACCTCATCTATTATTGAAACCAGCTACCAATATATTGGTCTACGCATCAATTTTCACAATAACTGCCATTACTGTCGACCGATCGATTCCTTGCTCTCCACTTACATCTAAGATACCAAGAACTTGTGACAACAAAGCGGACTTCATTGGTTGTAATAGGGATTTGGACATTCAGTGTGTTTTGGACTTGCACTCTATTTATCCTTTCCATGAACAAAATGGGTTTTGCTTTCAAAATTGCGCATAGTATTTTAATGATTTTATTTTTGACGATCAATATTGCTCTGATGTTGAAAATATCTTGCGTTATTCGTCAACATGCAGCACAAATTCAAGTTCAACAGCAGGTAATGAACGCACAGCCTGGTGCAGCAGTGAACATTAAGAGATCTGTGAATATAATGTATTATATACTGGGAACATTTCTTCTATGTTATTTCCCTTATACTTGCCTTAATATTATTGAGAACTTTGTGAAAAAGCTACTTTTCGCTAAAGAGTTGATATGTACCATTGTTTTGGGAAACAGCAGTATCAATCCAATTATATATTTCTGGAGGATACAGGACATGCGTAATGCAGCTCTCCAACTGTTGCGAACTATTCGAAGAAATAACAATATTGATATCAGTAACTGAGTGGTAACAGTAACAATTGTGATGACAATGTCAATAATCATGACAATTGCACTGGCACTGGAAAAAACACCGGCAGTGAATCGGAAACAAACGAGTTATATAATTATATACCACTTGGACGAGAGGGAATTAAAGCATCAACATGCACTTTTCCCGTGTAGTGTGCTTTAGGCAATACTGTAACTGTTGTCTTTAAGATATAGCTAGAAGCGCGTCGAAATTCCCTAGCTGCTCAAGGGTGTTTTAACACTCTTAAAAAGGCCTGGGTATATTTCACATTATTTAAGGAATAAAAGACGAAATTCCGTGTTTGATACTCTGATCAAAACATGCGGGATGTAGGGAGAGTACGAGAGAAGCGTAGGAAACCACGACGCGTAGTGGAGTGGTTTCCAG